TGTGACATCCGCCAAGATGCCGTGAACCGTGGCAAGAGTCCTTCCTTGGGGACTCGGGCTTCGCTCCCAGATGCAGTGAGACCACTCGTGCTAGGCCCCCAGGTTACCTCTGATCCCGAAAACCAGAAGAGCAAAGAACCTTACCTTTTGCAGCTGAGTTATCCAGCCAAGGCAAGGAACTAGGAATGTTTGTGTGTCTTCTGCACCATCTCTTTAAACTGACGCGTGCTGCCCAGTGGTTCACTGGGCCGCCCTGCCCTCCCTTTCCTCCCTAATATTGCTGTGGCTTTATTCCCCAGTCCCTCTGTCTAAATACCTCAGCACAGTCCTCTCTTTGTCTCTCTCCCTCTTTCTCCTTTCTGTAAATGTGTAAGTATGCCGGAGCATGGAATCCACAGGCTAGTAATAATATGGTGAGATCTGGGGTGTTTATGTTTTGTAACAAGGCGCCAAAGAACTCGTATTCATTCCCAAGCTTTCTGGCTGTGCGGTGATTTTGTGCGGTTCGACACAGCCTGCCTGCCTGTCCTGTTGTTCTCTGTTTCTCTCTCTCAAAGTGTTAAAAGGATTCAAAAATAGATGGACGGAAAGTGAAGTTGGCCAGCGCTCCCTGTGTGTCATGGAGTAGCCGGGGGCCAGCTGGCTAGCACCGCCGGTCTCATGTACCCCGAGGAAAGGGCACCGATTGCATATTTCTCAGAGTGCATCACTGCATGTTCACCCTCAAGTGTTTAGATATGGAGTTCCTTCCCCCTGCCATGCCCCTTTGCATAACGACCCCCTTATTTCCTACAGGACGCCACTTCCTCCAGCCCAGCCCAGCCTGAGGTCATAGTTGTCCCTCTCTACCTGGTTAGTACTGACAGAGGGCACGAAGGCACTGCCAGACCTCCAGCATCTCTGGGGCCGCCGGGCCGCGCCCCCACAGTCCCGGCGACCGCCTCTGCCGCCTCACCTCTGACCTTCCCGACTCTAGATGATTTCATTCCCCCTCATCTGCAGAGGCGGCCTCACCACAGCCAGCCAGCCAGTGCCCCTGGCTCCCTCCCCCCCGTTAGCCAGACACCACCATCCTTCTCACCACCTCCTCCGCTGGTCCCCCCCGTCCCGGAGGACCTCCGCAGAGCCTTGGAGCCTGACCTCACGGGAGCCGTTCCAAGTACCGTAAGCTTGCCGGACTTCCCTCCCCACAGCTTTCCTGAATGTCTGCTCCCAGCAGTCAGAGTCCCTTCTCACTGAAGCACTAAGTTCTGGGGAGATCGCTGGCTGCCCCTGTGCTTGTGTGATGACTGGAACCGCGTTGGCTGTCACTCGAGTGCATGCCTCCCGTGCGTGTCCCTGGGTCTCGCGGCTGTCCGCGGTCTCCGATGTGCCTCCTCTTCTCTGTCCTTTTGGGAATGCACGTCTTCCTGAAAGAACTCTGCTGTCCCTCCGAGAAAACAACATCTGTGGCCTTGACTTTGGCCAGGCCTGGCTGGAGAATTATGGGGGTAGGCAGCGGCAGGCGTGGGGCCACATCCCAGAGCAGGGAGCGTCTAGGAGAGGGGAAGAGTCACTCTTGTTGACTTAGTAAGTAAACAGACTCCTTTAATACAGAAACGGCAGAGACCAGGATTAAAAAAACTGTGAGGGAGTGGGGTTTAATTGGGCAAATGGGTCTGAAAGCCTTGTACAGATAGGAGGACCTTTTTCCCAAAAGGCAGACAATTGCCAGGACCCCTGAGGAGGAGGTCCCAGGAGTTTTTGTGGCGAAGCAGTGCACGAGTGGTCCTGGGAAGTTAAGGGGCCTTGAGACCCCAGGTCCCGTGACAGGAGCTGGGGGGTGAGGCCCCATCACAGCTGGGAAGGGCCAACTGCTTCAGAGAAAAAGCTGAAGTACTTGGGACTACTTTCTCCTCAGGTGCCCTGAGAACTAAGAGAATCTGGTAACTTCAGCGTGAGTTGTAATATGGAGACCAACAGATCTACTTACAGGCCTGGGGTTCAGTGGGATTGAGCAGTGGACGTTCTTGTTATGGTATTGGACATAGAGAAAGCACCCAGTGAATGTAGCTACATTTCTTAGGATTCGTCCAGCAAATGGGGGGCCAGAGCCTCTCAGAATCAAGTAACTGGTTAATTAACCACGAGTCGTTGAGTTTCCACCGTGTTCTAGGCATGCTGCTAGGTATTAGGGTACAGCTCTGAACAAGTCAGGGCCCCTGTCCTCAAAGAGGTTTTTTTGGGTAGTGTGTCAGTTCTCAAGCTTGATGTACATGGGATCATCCGCGGGTCAGGGAGGCTTGTCTGAGTGGTCTCCTCCAGTTACACTCCTGGAATTTCTGATTGAGAAGGTCTGGAGAAGAGCCTGGGACTCTCACTTGGTTGCAGGCACCCCTGGGGTTTCTGGTGCTGGGGTCTACACGCCACATTCAATTTTGCAATGTAGCAGGCTAGTGAGTCATGCGATTGGCTGATGGAACTAAACACTGACATCCCTTTGTGTAAAGAGGTATGCTGACAAAACTGGCCCAAATGATTTGTTAAGCTGAAGCCAGTCATGCAGAAAGCAGGAAGGAAATTTTTTATTTGGCTTATTAGAGAAATTATAATGAGGCATCAGGCACACCAGAGCTGGGAACTGTTACATCCTGGGCTGGGACCTCTTAAATCCCTAGTGCAGCAAAATACAGTTGGGTCAGGAGCAGATCCAACGTGGCCCATGGGCTCGGATGGCCTCCTAGCATTGAGCTTTGCAGATCAGTCTCGCTGGAGAAAAACGCTAGCTTGTTCCCTCGCTGAGGGGTCCTGCCACCCCTGAGACTCAGCCGAACTTAGAATTGAGAAGCTAGTCTTATTTTGGGAGACTCACTTAAAGGGAGTCTCGTGTTTAGTATACCATTGCGAGTGGTTTTGCTGAGGACCCTGTAACGTGTCATTCGTGTAGATCTAGGTATTCATATGGAGTTTGTTTTAGGTATGCCGGGATGGATTAGTTGGGACAGTGTCCTCAGTTTCTCAAACCCGACTCACCAATCTGGAGTTAGCCAAAAGGATGTCAGTTGGCCCAAGGACTCCTGGTTTGGTCCCGGGGAACAGAGTAAGAGGTGAGAAAGGAAATTGCTTGGATTCCTCCTCTGAAAGAGAATTGTTTCAGGGCAAGAGCCCCTGTGGATGGTACCTGAGCCGTGAGGTGATTCCTGCTCCATCTCGAGCTGTCTGAGTGTCAAGGGGAAGAATAAAAGCCATGTTAATTGATCCGAGCTCTTTTAGTCACGAGCTGTGTTTGTGATGTTCCAGAAATAAGACACAGAGTAGAATTTGTAAAATGCTTAATGCTCATACGACATCCACCCAAATATCACATTAGGCATTTATGCTTTCAAGAACTGTATGCCTGATATTTTGTATTTCTGGGGTGCGTTCTGGCAGAATTTTTAATGGCATGTCATTTATCTTCATTGTATCACTTTGGAGACAAACTAGGGAAAGTGTAATTATCTTCCACTTTATAAACGGAGGAATCGAGGTGAGGCACTTTTGTATAAGATCATTCTGTGCTTCTCGAGTATTAGTCACTAAGTTGAGCGGCCAGCACTAACAACAGCTATTGAGAACACCTCAAGAAGAGACAGACCTACCTACTCGGTGTTTAGGAAGTACCTACTGTGTGTTGGCAGCTGTCCTGGGTGCTGATACCCTCACCTTCTGTTTGAAGATGTTTGCTCAGGCACGCCTTTGCTGGTAGATGCCTCCTGCCATTCATGGGTCATGAGAAACTACTGTCTACAGGGCACTGTGTCAGGTGCAGATGGGAGGTGGCCCTTGTGCTTTAAGCGCTTACGCTGTCGTTGACCTCTGATTATTGCTTCAAGAGTTACTATCAAAATCTTGCTCTCTGCTGGATGTGGTGGTTCACACCTGGCATCCCAGCACTTTGGGAGGCTAGGGAAGGAGGACTGCTTGAACCTAGATGTTCGAGACCAAACATAGTGAGACCTCATCTCTACAAAATAAAATTTAAAAATTAGGCGGTTGTGGTGGTGCACACCTGTAGTCCCAGGTACTCAGGAGGCTGAAGGGGGAGGATCGCTTGAGTCCGGGAGGTTGAGACTGCAGTGAGCCATGATTGTGCCACTGCACTGCAGCCTGGGCAACAGAGAGAGACCCCACTAAAAAAAAAAAAAAATCTTGCTCTTAAAGCCCTTTAAGGAGAACATTCTGCCCTTGGGGTGTGTAAATTCCAAAACAGAAACTTTGCAAAATGATGAAGGAAACTGTTGAAATATCCTTCCTATATTTCAGGGTTCTATTTTTATTTGTTTACAAATACCGGCATATATTCTCCCCATTAGGCAGATTACGTTAGTATTAATAACTTTATTGGTGTTTCTGGCAGAGTCCTCCAGTTTTAAAAGTCTAGATTCTCATAAGCCTTTTTTACTTCAGAGATCTTTGTCACTTTGATATTAGAGTGAAAAATGTCACAGTGGCATAGGATAGGATTCAAATCTCACAAGCAAGCATCAGTAAAATTGCTCAGTAAGAGTAGTTTTCCGAGAGAACAGCTACTTAGCTTCTTGCTGTCTTCACGTCCTCGTCTTCTTGTCTTACATTTCTCTACACAGTGTACTAAACTTCCCTGGTTTTTCCCTATTAAACCAGCTCTCATTCTTGGATCGCATTTGGAATTGCATGGGTTTTGCATGCCATTCTCCTTTGATTTGAATTTGCTCTTTCAGTAACCGGATTGACCCACCACTGTTACCAGGTGAAAGTAATGAATGACGTTGCTGAGACTTTCAGTAACATTCACTATCCCTGTCTCTCCTCTTACTAACAACAACAAAGCATTCCGGATCAAACTGCTAACTGGAATTAATGATCCAATGTCTCACTGATTGCATTTTCTTTTTATAATTAAGTTCTTTGTAATGCTTTCCATGTCTTCTTTTTAAGAAGCGGGGACTCTGGATTCCCTATGTTTATATAGTTAGTTACATTGTTTGTTTTCCTTTCAGGGTTCCAGCCCTCTGCTAAATGAAGATTCTTCTTCCCGTGCTGAAACTGACTCCCAAGCCTTTACACCAGCTAGCAAGCCATCATCCGCCTACCCGTCCACAACGATTGTCAATCCCACTATTGTGCTCTTACAACACAATCGAGGTAAGGCAGCCCTCTCCCAACCTACTGGACCCAACGTAGCTATTCTGTGATATTGGGGCAAGAATTCTGTCATTCCACAGACATTTTCACAAATCCCATTGTTTCCTGGGAATGTGCCCCAGTTTACTCACTCCCGTGACCCATAAAATAGATTCCAGCAGACAGAGACGCCTGACTTGGGGTGACATCAGGTGTCTGAGTGAGTAAACTGGGCTAGTGTGTGTTCTGTAGGTGTTCGTGGTTGTCTTACTCAGATAGTAACACACACAGAAGAAGAAGGGAAAAAATGTGTGTCTCTTAATTCCTTATGAGGATTCTAATTAGCGACGTAGCTTAAAAAATCTAGGTACCGTAAGAACTCCTTTAAGATGTGTCACAAATTCAGCACTTTGGGAGGCTGAGGCAAATGGATTGACCTCATCTCTACAATAAATCAAATATTAGTCGGGCGTGGTAATGCATGACTGTAGTTCCAGCTACTTGGGAGACTTAGGTGGAAGGATCACCGGAGCCCAACAGGTCAACGCTGGGGTGGCTGTGAGCATGCCACTGCACTCCAGCCTGGGTGACAGAGTGAGACTCCAACTCAAAAAAAGAAAAAGAAATGATTTAGTTCCTTGGTATACTGGTATATGGAATTTTCTAGGAAGCAGAATTTTGAGTACCGAATTTTAAGAAGAAAACATTCTGTCCAGAAACTTTTCTAGAATGTAAAACGTGTCTTTGTTCCTCCTTCATGGTGGCTCACTGGCCTTCATTCGTGCCGTGGCTGCATCAGGCTGTCATTCAGTGGCTTCCCCTGGGGACATGAGGTTCATGTGACTCTCTGTCACTACACCAGGCAGCTCCGCTGAGAGTTTTCATGTTGTTTTCTATAGTTTCTCTGACTGCTTCTGGTTGGTTCTTCTGCTTCTGTGAAGGAGGAACCTTGGGGTTAGGTGAAACAGAAGTGCTTTGAGATAGTAATTGTGTATGTTGACCCTTCTGCTTTGAAACTCCAGGAGACAATTCTGTGGGTTGTTTTTTTTTTCTTTGTGTGTGTGTGTGTGTGTGTGTGTGTGTGTGTGTGTGTGTTAGAATCTGTCACTCTGTCACCCAGGCTGGAGTGCAGTGGCATGCTCATGGCCACTGTAGCCTCCGCCTGTTGGGCTCCGGCGATCCTTCCGCCTCAGCCTTCCAAGCAGCTGAAACTACAGGCACGCGCCACCATGCCTGACTACTTTTTCTTGATTTATTGTAGAGACGAGGTCTCCCCAAGTTGCCCAGGCTTGTCTCGAACCCGTGGGCTCAGGCAATCCTCTCACCTTGGTCTTCTAAAATGCTGGGATTGTAGGTGTGAGCCACCGTGCCTGGCACCAGAAAACAATTCTAAATCCCAAGTGTTCTTTTTGGAATTCCATAGAGGGATAAACTTTCCCTTTACAAAAGTCCTTTGCAGCTTGAAATGTAAAGTTTTCAGGCTGTTTTCTAGTGTGGCAAAAAGAGTAGGAACCTCACTGTCACCTAGGCTGGAGTGTAGTGGCAGGTGATCCTCCCACCTCAGCCTGCCAAGTAGCTGGAACTACAGGTATGTGGCACTACACCTAGCCAATTTTTCTTAAAATTGTAAACACGAGGTCTCTCCAAGTTGCCCAGACTGGTTTCAAACCCTGGGCTCAGGCAATCCTCTTGCCTCAGCCTCCCAAAGTGCTGGGATTACAGGCATGAGCCACCACACCTGGCTCGGAAAGGACTTTTTAATCTCAATTTCAAAGAACAGTGGAGGTCATAATTATTTTGATCAGAGCTCCAAATTAGATAGCAGATACTTGTTTTCCTGACACCTTGTTCTTGGACTTCATAGTTTTCTCCTCTCTCCTTTGCATTAACTTGATTCTATTTTTAGTTGTTTTCCATACTAAATAACATTTTCTGTTTCCTGCTTCTAACTTGAAAAGTAGATGAATAAAACGTTTTCTGTCACTTCAGATCTCCCCACTAGCATCTTAAAGTTGTCTCAGTTGCTTTGGTTTCTTTCACTCTGTGTGACTCCTGTATTAATTCTCACCCGTGAGTCTGTGTCCCTCAGTAGATAATAAGGGTCCCAACCCCCACCCTGGTCTCTGCAGGAGTCCTCACTCCCTGAGCTGTGCCATGCCCCTTACTGCCAGTGGCAGCCCTTGCCCAGAAAGTGTCCTGCAATGCAGGACAAAGTGAAACTTTGGTTCTCTGAACTTTCTTGTGACTCATTTAAAAAAAAAAAATCAAACAGAAGCAAGTTAGTTCCCAGAAGAAAAGGCAGCTTCTTTAAAAATGGGATTTATTCCCAAGACAACTTGGGTTTTGGGAAATGCCAAGTGTAATGTCAGCTGCTCCTGCCAAGTCCCTCTGATGACATCTAGTGAGACATCTTTGGGTGTGGAAATGCCTGTAGTTCCTTTTTGCATCTTCCTTGAACAAATGAATTCCTTACTAAGTGGGCAGGGCAGGAAGAGTAGAGAAGAATAGAAGAGACTTACTGGCCCAGCCCTGTGTTAATCCTCGTAAACGGGGTTTAGGTCAATGGTTTTTGGCATTGCTTTAGAATTTACCCAACCTGGCAGCTCTGCTTTGCTTCATAAACAGTATCCATAAAAGCAATGTCTTAACTATTGCAATGTCTCTTGAGGGAATGGCAACTTTATTCCACTTCTGGAATTCCAATTTAGTCATTCTAAAAACGTTCCCCCCTTTTTTTTCTGCCTGGACTGTCCCAGGGCATAGTGTGACGATATTCCTGTCTCTCCAAGCCAGCCTCCCCCCGCTGGAATCAGGGGCACCAGGCATCTGGCCTGGCACTGGGGGCTGTGAACCACACAGCACCTTCCTCTTCTTTCCTCAGTTTTCATGCCACCTACCTTTGAGGGCAGAACACTTACCATCAGCCTGGAGAGGAGAATTTGAATCAGAATTTGAATCAGAAAACTCGAGGAACTAGAAGCCTCAGGCTTCCCAGTCCCTGTGCTTAGGCTTCTGGGAGTCTTCTCAACCTACAGGTTCAGATCAGTCTAGGCTAGGGGGAGACGAGATTCTGCATTTTTTTTTTTGGCAAACTTGCCGGGTACGCCAGTGCTGCAGGCCCATGGACCATGCTGAGAACCAGAGCTCGGTGGTTCCAGACTTGTGTTATTGACACAAGAAACAGTCTAGGGCTCACCCTAGGGTTTCTCATTTCTAACTTTTTTTAGAGTAAACAGATTTATTGAGTATGCTACATGGGAGACAGCGGGCTGGACAGCGGTAAGGGAGCTGTCCACACCTCATTTCTAACTTTTAAGCACAACACTGCTAAGAGATATCTATAGCAACAGACACTGGGGACTCTTAAAGGGAGGGAAGAGGGCAAGGGTTGAAAAATTGCCTGGTGGGTACCACTATCTGGGTGACGGGCTCAGTAGAAACACAAAGCTCACTAATGTGCACCAGGCCTAGGTCTCATATCTGCACATGGACCCCTTGAATCTAAAATTCCTTTTTTTGGATTGGAAAATCTAATTTATTTAGAAAGTAAATCAGAGAGAGAATGAAAGAGAAAGAGAGAGAGAGAGAGAGAGAGAGAGGAGAGAGAGGGAGAGAGAGAGAGGAGATTCACCTCCCCAAGATAGGGGAGGGAGCCAAAGCTTGGGAAAACATGGTAGCCATCGAATCTAATTTTTAAAAAATTAAAAGATAAAATAGGATTCGAGACCCACCTGGGCAACTTGGCAAGACCTCATCTCTACAATAAATCAAAAAATCAGCCGGGCGTGGTAGCGCGCGCCTGTAGTTCCGGCTACTCGGAAGGCTGAGGCGGAAGGATCGCTGGAGCCCAGCAGGTCAAGGCTGCAGTGGCCGGGAGCGGCCACTGCACTCCAGTCTGGGTGACCGAGTGAGACTCCAACTCAAAAAAAAAAAATTAAAAAATGATAAAATAACACCACTAAGAAACAGCTACTGTTATCTGTGCCGTATGTCTGTCATCCTGTGACAAGAAAGGCCATCTCATAACTCAGAAGTGGGGGCACCATAGCCTTCTAGATGAAATACATTCACTTCTGCCACCTGGGAGCAGCTTGCAGAGAAGAGTGTAGGAACTGTAGGTCCCTTTAGGTATCCTAGGACTCTTGAATGTAGCAGACGAGGAAACTGAGACCAAGAGGTCACATGGTTGGCCATCGTCTTCTGTAAGTTGTTGGCAGAACTGAGCCCATAGCTCTGCTGGGCTTCTTCTTGTCCTGCTTTCCCTCACCTCGGGGCTGGACAGGCGCCACTCCCCTGGCCGTGAGCCCCCATGATGCTCTCTGCTTACTTCTTGCCCACACTGGTTCGAGGTGGGGATGGAGCCAAGGAGGGTGATGACAGCACCCATGGGCTGGCAGATGTTCTATTTTTATCTATGTGACTGCTTTATATTTAGCAGCTGTGGAAGGTAAAGGTCATTTTTGTGCTTATCTCATAGCACAGACACAGAGGATGTGCCACAAAGGAGCTGGTCGCCTTCCCTCCACACGTGTACCCAGGATGGGGACGGACCGATAGACCTTCAGTGTTGGGACCAGCGTGGGCCCAGTGATTAGTTGAAGTGAACCCCGAGCTGGGAGTCAGAGAATCCTCATTCTGGATTCAGCTGATACTTAATGTCCTCTTGGGTCATTTGTGTCCCTTATCCAAAGTCTCTTGGTCACACTGATTTTTTTTTTAGGATTTCTCTTGTACTCTTGACCAGCCAGATTGAGGGTTGATTCAGAGATTACACCTGTTATATGTAAAAGCTCTTAAAACAGTGTCAGGCGTTTAGCAAGCTCTCAGGAGACGATCGCTGCTATAGTTGTGCTTGTAAATTACGTTTCCCTCCAAAGGTACCAGGACTGGAATCATATAAGGTCTTGCTCACTGGAGGCCAGGGAAGTTGGCAGGATTCCCGTCAGTGATGAGATCATCTTGAGTCAAGATGTAAACAGCTAGGAAAACTGTGACAGTTCCCCCAAATCCTTGTGCAGATCTGGGGAGAGGAGGGGCTGGGAGGCGCCCCACCCACATCTGGGGATGGGGCTGACACCCCGTAGTCAGCACTGCACATTGTGGCATCTAAGCCCAGGGGACAGTGAGGACACAGAGTTGGGATCCTAACTAGTTTTGCCAGGGCTTCTTGGTCATCCTCTGTGCTGAATAAATCTCACATGTATCTTCTTCTTTTTTTTTTTTTACCACAGAACAGCAAAAGCGACTCAATAGCCTTTCAGGTAGGTGAGAGATATTTATTTACATGCGAACCCCCTGTTTTTCTGTTACCATCTCCAGTCGATGCTGGGGTGGCTGTGGGCGTGCCCCTACACTCCAGCCTGGGCGATGGAGTGAGACTCTGACTCAAAAAAAAGAAGGCCAAGGAGTCATTCATAACAGGCCTCTTGGGAGAGGTTTCCTTTCTGCTGCTTCTGTGTCCCTTCCAGGATATGACAGGGCAGGGCTGGAAAATGTGGGCAGCTTCTCTTCTTTTTGGGTGACGAGCCTCTACATCAGTAGATGACCCTGGGGTGCTGGGTCCAGGTGAGAGCCTCCAGTCAAGCAGTGCCCAGAAAACAGCTTCTTGAGCTTGAGTGGCATCAGAAATTCCTGGAGAGGCTGGGTACAGTGGCTCATGCTTATGATCCCAGCACTTTGGGAGGTCGAGATGGGAGTTTGAGACCGGCCTGGGCAACGTAGCGAGACCTCGTCTCTACAAAAAAATCACAAAATTAGCTAGGTGTGGTGGCACGTGCTTATAGTCCCAGCTACTCGGGAGGCTGAGGTGGGAGGATCACCTGAGCCTAGGAGATCGAGGCTGTGGTTAGCCATGATCATGCCGCCACCCTCCAGCCTGGGCAACAGAGTGAGACCCCAATTCTAAGAAGAAAAGAATTTCCTGGAGAGTTTGTTGAAACTCAGATTCCTGGGCCACACCCCAGAGATGGGTTTAAAGGACCTGAGTGAGAATGTGCACGTCTGACCAGCTCCCCAGGGACTCTGATACCACCTTCTGTGCTAGACATGTGGTGTGAGTTCCGGGTGAATCTTAAGAGCCAAGAGTGGTGGGGAGTGACTGCAGATAGAATCGATCAGACACTCAGGCTGCCTCCCTGATGCCTCCCGTCCTGCAGGATCAGGACAGTGTCAGGGTGTGGAGGCGCCAGGGAGGGAATGTTTAGCTGCCTGTGGCTTCCTGTGCCATTCTGCTTTGAACTCTGGGCCTGCTGCTTATGAATAGTGCCGCGTCAGGTGGATTTTCTGGTGTCTCTGAACTTCGGTTTTCTCACCTGTCAAATGGGGAGAGCGTGGCGCCACCCAGGGCGTGGGAAGATCAGATGAGATTCTGCGTGCGAACAGCTCAGCACTGAGCCTGGTGGCTCCAGCTGCATCAGAGAAGCGCATTCCTGTTCCTGGGAGGTTCACAATCTCAGGCGTGGGCTCCAGGGCTGCTCCAGGGGACCATGCTGCTCTGGGCAGCTAGTGGTGCGTTGCAATGGTGTGTAACCTTCCTCTGGCCGTGGACTCCTTGGGAGAATCTGAAGGGCGTATATTCGTTCTCCAGAAAAAGCCACAAGTGTGTAAACATGTGACTGCAGGAAAAGGGAGGCGTGTGTGAGCACGAGTGGGGATGGCCAGTGGGATGCTCAGCGGAAGAGGAAGGAGGGTATCAGATGAAAACTCTGAAGCCAGAAGACTAGGGTGCAAAACGGTTGAGCCAGGGAAGCCTAAAATCCTACCATGAAGCTCGCGAGGTGAGAATGAAGGTATCCAGCAATTAGTAAGTGCTCAGTGAAAATCTGCTCGTTGGCTGACTGGTTCTCCTCTTTGAGGAAGGACAAAGTGCAGAGTGCTGGCCGGGAGACTACACTTGGGTGGAAAAGAGAGACCCACGCAAAGTGACTTCCATGGATTTGTGCATACTCGTAAACTCCGGGGTTAAGAGCCCCAGGTGGGGTGGATAACAACAGCCACCGTTTTCTGAGCCGCTGCAACGTGATTTCTGGGTGGCTTCATTCCACCGCTGTCCCCGTGGTGAGCCTCGGTGGGCAGGACATGGGGTTCTCACATACTCTCAGCTTTATCAGGACTTGGCCACTGGTCCAGGACAGGCCATGGTTAGCTCAAGATGCCCTTGACTGCCCCTCCTGGAGCTGCCACCTTCCAGCCCACTTCATTCCCTGGCCCCAGCCCAGGTTGCTGGAAACATGGACGTGGCCACTCGGGGGGGAAACAAAAAGGTGACTTTTGTGGGCCTCCTCCTGCCCGTGGGAGTTTGAGAAGAGGGTGGAATAGAGGAAAAAGGCCTCCAGCCACACGTTAGGAGACCCAAGGTTGGCCCTGGCTCTTCTTCTCAGAGCTGTTTGTCCTTGAGTAAGTGACTTCACCTCCGAGAGCCAGTTTCCTCCCACGTAGAAAACGAGGGTGATAATCCTCGTATCTGCCTGGGGAAGGTTAGTTATTGTGGCAGGAAGGAGGGGGATGCTTTGTGCACTGGAAAGGGCCACGTAAATGCGAGAGGATGGCTCAGACCCATTTCTCAGCTCTGAACTAAGCCTGAAGCTATCACCCTTCTGGAGTTTGGGGGCAGATCCACCAACTGGGGCCTGAAGTAGGTGCTCACTTTGGGCGTGGCACCTTAAGTTAGTGCTCACTGAATAGTAGCTTTTGTTTAAAAAGTAGTGCTGCCTTGTTCAGGGGCTTCTGGGTGGATACTCTCCAGTCGTGTCTTGGAGCAGGCATGGCTTCACCATCACCCGATGGGATGGGATTGGGGCCACCCGCCTTCCCTCTAGCAAATGTTTGTGGAGCCCCAGGAACAAAGCCCACACTATGTTTGGCCTCCTGTGGCTCCTGGTCCTCCCGGGGAGACCGATAGGATAACAAGACTAGGGCTGGGAGAGGGATTGGGGCAGGGTATGGAGGGGCGCTCTCCCTCCCCCAGGTTTAGTGTGAGCAGGGCCGCGGTCCCCAGGCACCAGGCTCTGGGTGTGAAGGAGAGGGAGGCTGTCCCACCTCCCACAACAGAGGCCCCGTCTGAGGGTGTCAGCATCGCCATTTTCTTAGTGGCCCAGAACCTTCCTTGTTAAGGCATAGATAAAACTAGAAGGAAGTGCCCCAGAATGGCGCTGTGTCTCACTGGAGGGGTTCGCGTTTGCCTCCTGAAAAATAAGAACAAGCCCTCACTGTTACACGGGTGTTCAAGGGTGACCCTCTCACCTTGTGGTGCAATTCAGTGGCACTTTGAGTTTCACTCTAGAAAGTGACACTTTATTACAACATGTACTCACTCATAAGTGGACCCTGAACATTTATCATAGTACTATACGAAAGGGATTGGCAGTAGTGGAACATTGCCAGGGCGGGGTGGGGCACATACCATCAATAAATGTACCCAATCTCAAACCAGGTGAAGTGGGGACCAAGGGGAGGCCCAAACTTTACCTGTATGATGACCACTGATGTACCTATCCCTGAATTGTACCCCACGTCTTTAAAATAAAAATATATTTTAAAAAAATGAAAGTGACACTTTATTTTCAAGAGCTACAGTTCAGCTCTCTGTGTATCAAAATCAGCTCAATTGTGAGTCACAGGACTGCAAACTTCTCAAGTAAAATAATTCAGGGCTAATTTTTGTAGATTAAAAGGACTCCGACAGCTTTGGGACACATCCATGGACTGTAAGCCCAAGTTTTGCAGAGAAGCGATTTTTTAAAAAAATTTTAATTAATTAAATAATTTGAATCAGGGTCTCACTCTGTTGCCCAGGCTGGTTTGCAGTGGCACAATCACGGCTCATCGCAGCTTCAACCTCCTGAGCTCGGGTGATCTTTCTGCTTCAGCCTCCCGAGTGGCTGGGAATGCAGGTGTGCGCCACCACCCCTGGCTTATTTTTATTTTTTGTAGAGATGGATTCTCATTGTGTTGTCTAGGTCAGTCTCAAATTCCTGGGCTCAAGCAACCCTCCTGCCTCAGCCTCCCAAAGTGTTGGAACTGCAGGTGTGAGCCACCGTGCCCGGCCAGAAGTGATTGTTGTTAGAGCCACTTGCTCTAATGGTTTTCTTAAAAAGATTAATCTGGGTCCAGAAACCCTGAGCATGGCGTGTCTGTGATTTCATCATCCTCCTATAGGAGCGTAGGCACCTCCAGGCATCTTGTGCCACTGAGCCTGGGGTCAGCCGCCCCTGCTCCTTTTGTCCAGCGGGAGGCTGAGGCAGGAGGGTTGCTTGAGCCCAGGAATTTGAGACAGACCTAGGCAGCACAATGTGAACTCATCGCTACAAAAAATAAAAATAAGCCAGGGGTCGTGGTGCAGAGCCCTATGAAAGGGTGGCTCTGGTGACACAAATCCCCTGCACTTCCAGGCTTCCAGCCACCTCCTTGGCCTCATGTTGGAATTTCCTGGGAGCATGAGAACACGTCCCACAAAGCCAGGCTGACCTTAACATCCTTTAGAGTTTTGGTGATGAGCCACAGAGATCAGGTTTTTTGAAGCACTCACTAGGTAGACACCATTAGAATTTGGTTTGAAATGCAGGCAGTCACCCAGTGAGTAGACTGGACATCATATACTTGTGTGTGCTGGTGTCATGGCGTCCCCACCGCCGCAGCCTTCCCTCCACACACAGACATCTCTGACTTGGTCACAACTTTGCGTGTGCACTCTTTTTCACCCAAAAATAGTCCACTAGCCAGTACTCTGCACCTTACCCTTTCTCAACTGAGAACCTGACCCCAATCCGTCAAGGAGCAGAGTTTTACTGTGCACTTACTAATTGCCAGGGCACGTCCCGACGCCTTCATTCTCACCTCATGGGCTTCACCGATAGGACTGCAGGCTCCCCTGGCTAAACCTGTTTGCCCCCTAGCCTCTTGGCCTTGGGTTTTCCATCTGGCACGCTCCCTCCCCCATGCTGGGCTCCCCACTCGCCACCCCCTCGTGTGTTCAGACAGGCATCCCTTTCCCCTCAAGCTGGCACCCTCCCCTATCCTCCTGCACTTGCTTCCTCAGAGTGTTCCTGTGACTTTTCTCTTGCCTAGTCTAATGCCACCTCCTCTGCTTCAGCTTCTGGGGTTTCTGACACATAGAACCACCCACTTCTTGGAATCCCATCCTCCCTGGCTCTGTGGCACCTTGCTGTACTTGCTTGGTTCACCTCCTGTCCCTCAGACAACTCCCCTCTGTTCGAGATTCTTCTGCCCTGCAGGCTGTGGCTGCGACGTCCCTCGTGGGTGACTCCAGCTCTGGGTGCTGTCTGGCTTCTCTCTGTCTCAGAGCTCTGCATCTCCTGATGCCTGCAAAGCTGCACTCCTCTTGGGGTATCTCGCTCAGGCCCCTCCCTCTTGCTTCTAGAGGGTCTCCAGGACCTTCTTCCTTGAGTGTGAGGCCCAGGGTCCCTGCGTGACTAGTTCAGGATGACGGTCCTCTTCTCAAGGGTCCTGTGGTCTAAATGGAAGCAGCCATTTCTCCTTCCTTTCTCCAGCCCGCTTCCCCTTCCTAACTTCTCAGGCCCTCAGACTCGAAATCTCAGTACCATCTTTGGGGGAGGCAGGACGAGTCGTGCTTCAGAGAGGACTGCTGGACCAGGTAGACGCTAGGCCGGGTTCCAGCTTGGTCATGTGCTGGCTGTGTGACCCCAGGAAGGGTGCTTTAACTTCTCTGTGCTTTGGTCCTGTAACTAGTAGAGAGCATGTGGGTAGGTGGGAGGTGGTGGCGATAGTTTCTTTCTCAGAGTTGGGAAGGTGGAATGAGATCATATAAATGAGGAATATAGCCCAATGCCTGCCACATACTCAGCTCTGGGTCGTTCAGAGGCCTGCAAGTGGTTGCTCATGCAGTTCCCTCTGCCGGGAGCACCCTTCACTTCCTGCTCACCTAGTTGGCATCTTCTCTGAGAGGTAGGCCCTCGTCGTCCTGTGCTCTAATTGCTGGCTCCCCTACTCTTCCTGCTCACTAGACTTTGCGCTCCCTGAAGGTCCGGATTCCAAAACGCTCACTGTCATGTCCACAGGGCAGAGCACAAAGTGTGGGCCCTGGCAAGCGCTTTGTAAATGCCTCTCCAGTAAATAAACAACATGATTCAGCCAGGCAGTTTACTAATCTGTAGATCACACCTGGTATGCACGTTTAGCTCTTTGTAACTTCCAGTCTTGAACCAAATTAAATAATCTGCGATGTGCACTTAGCAATGTTCAGCGTCCTGAACACACTGGTGGACATTATGCTGGTAAGTCTTCTTGCCACATTGCTGAGAGTTTGCCAGTGGAGGTGTCATCCCTGGTTTTGGATGAGAAAACTGAAGCACAGAAAAGTTAAGTGACTTCCTCAAGAGGAAACAAGAACTTTCAAGTGATGTTTAGTCACCTCCTGTGATTCCACCTACTCCCTTAATTTCTAGGACAGTCAGAACTACTTGGATGTCCAGAGCACGATGGGCATAGCTATGAATCACTGATTGCACTGTCAGCATTTTTTGTTTTTTTTGAGTTGCGGTCTCACTCTGTCACTCAGGCTGAAGTGCAGTGGCATGATCACAACTTCCTGGAGCCTCAGCCTCTTGGGTTGAGGTGATCCTCCCGCGTCAGCCTCCTGAGTAGCTGGGACTACAGGCACACGCCATCATGCCCAGCTAATTTTTAAATTTTTTTTGGAGAGACTGGGTCTTGCTATGTTGCCCAGGCTGATCTCAAACTCCTGGGCTCAAGCAATCCTCCCGCCTCGGCCTCCCAGAGATCTGGGATGACAGACATGAGCCACTGAGCCTAGCCAAGCAAACTTTTTCTTAAAGAGCCAGATGGCAAATATTTTAGGCTTTGCAGGCCATACGGTTTCTGTCACAGCTACTCATTTCAGCCACAGGCGCTCACAAGCATCGATAAATAATATATAAACACATCAGCATGGCTGTGTTCCAGGAGAACTTTCCTTACCGAAACAGGTGGCCGGCCCATGGACCAGAGTTTCCTCTAAGAAGAACTAATTCCAGTTGAGAATTAGCAGACATACTTTCTCCCTAGCTGGACTGATTAGGGGTTTCTTGCTTTGTAGCTACCAAAAGAGCTTCAAGCTAACAGTTGCTTTTCATTTCCAGATTCTGTCTCAGAAAGAAGGGTGGGAGAGCAGGACTCAGCACCACCCCAGGAAAAGCCCACCTCGCCCAGCAGGGCTCCTGAGAAGAGGCTGAAGAGTGACAGCCGGCGGGTAGTCAAGAGCGCTCAAGACCTGAGCAATGTTTCCATGGATGAAGTGGGCATCCCACTCCGGGTACGAACGTTGGCCTAGAGGCCTTCATCCTAGACAGTCCTCGACAACTGTACACTCAAGTGCACGGGAACCCCATCCAGCTTCAGGGGCCTTCATGCCCTCGACTCTGCAGGCCCCTCGAGGGCTAGGGCCCCAGGATCTGTGCTTCAGGCTCAGTGCTCGACAGCTTTTCCCAAAGCGAGTGTTGGGGGCATTAAGTCTCATGGAAAAAGGGGTTTCATGGTCCAGTGAACATGAGGGAAAGCTGGGTGGAACCCAGTCAGAGAGATTTCTCTGATAGATGACTTCTGAGAGGCTTTGGGTACGGGAGTGCCCAAGGGACGGTGTTATGGGCAGTCTTCCTTCATTTTTGTTCTGTTGACTCGAAATGCCTGGTTCCAGGGTAAGGAACCCTGGGGAGCGTGTGAGGCCCAAGGTCCCTGTGTATTGGTTCAGGATGAAGGCCCCCCTGATGGGAGATACCCTGTCATCCAGAGTGTGTAGGAAACTGCGAGGGAACCTCAGAGTGGGCTCAGCCAGCCAAGCCCCCAGGACCGCGCAGTCTCGAGACAGCCCCAACCCAGCTCTGCCCCACCCTTAGGCGTGCTGGTGCTGTAGGCCCTGAGGAGTTCCAGGGAAGCCCGACATGGACCTGGATTCAGGTGAACTCCAGTCCTCCCATGTGTCCACCAGACCCCTGGCTGTAGCCTGATCTCCTGTGATTTCCATTTAGCAAATGTGTCCTTTCGGAGGAGGTGATGGACAGCAGTGGGCTAAGCCTCAAGGGAACTCTTCTCTGGTCCTCAGTACGAATAAAGAAAGCTACCATCTGCTGAGTACATTATCTCATTTAAGCATCAGTCAGCCAGGCACGGTGGTTCATGCCTGTAATCCCAGCACTTTAGGAGGTGGAGGCGAGAGGATGGCCTGAGCCTGTGGGTTCGAGACCAGCCTGGGCAACATGGGGAGACCTCACCTCTACAATAAATCAAAAAATTAGCCGGGCGTGGTGGCACCCGCTTGTGGTTCCAGCTACTTGGAAAGCTGAGGTGGAAGGATCGCCTGAGCCCGGCAGGTCGAGGCTGCAGTGGCCACGAACGTGCCACTTCATTTCAATCCGGGCAACAGAGTGAGACTCCGACTTAGAAATCAATCAATCAATCAATAAATAAGTCTCACTCCCCTGGGTAAGAGATGGATACCGATATCACTTTCATCTTCCAACGAGAAAGCAGGAGCTCAGAGAGATTACGTTAACTTGTCCCAGATGGCACAACTTGCGGGTGACAGAGCAGTCTGTCCAGCTCCCCAGCCTGCACCCTGCACCCTCACCATCATGTCGGGTAGCCCTTCCACTCACCTTTTCACCAGCTCTGTGACCTTGGGCAACTTTCTTTGTCGTTTTGTATCTCATTTCCTCTTCTCCGGAGTAGGAGTGAAAATAATCTGATCTAACCACTTATCTGTCACCTTCCTTGTTTTATTTTTACCTTAAAAAAAAAAAAAACAACCCTCCCAACTTTGTGGTTAGGATGGAAACTCTGGCATTGGATGCTGGAGTGGGTTACATTTTAATGTCAGCATTCTAAATCTGCAAGGTGACTTCGAAACATCTCTGCAGAATAACCTAGAACGGGGCAGGGCACAGCATGGTAGGCAAGTATTCTTTGTTGATGTTTTTAGGAACCTTTACTGTAGTTGGGCCTAGTCTTTACGAGGAGGCACCCAAAAGAAGCAGAATTCTCTTTTGGAGGGCGGGCCCCTTGTAGTGCAGGTCTCTTCCGCTAGGTAAGTGTTCTAGAAACCCAGCAGCATCCATGTACCAGCTAGTGTTGCTGTGAGGGCTACATTCGACTTCAGTGAATTTTTTTGGAGATTTTTTTCAACGCATTTGCCCATTTCGGCTTCAGTGAATTTTGGGGGGAGATTCTTTCAACACATTTGCCCATTTCATGATGGGTGATTTTTGAGTGCACCTGCCCTCATCACGCTGAGTGGTCACAGTTTTTTGACCAGAAATGGCGTGACCCCTGTGCCTTACCCTCCGTATTCACCTGATCTTAGCCCGAGCGACTTTTCTATATTCCCAGTGGAAAAAAAAGTCCTCAAAGGGAAATATTTTGTTGATGTGGAAGAGGTGAAACAAAAAACGACAGAAACACTAAAAGGCATCAAAATTGACAAATTCAAAAGCAGTGGGAAAAGTGTCATGATAGGTATATTACATCACACGGAGAGTACTTTGAAGGTGACTGAAGTTGAATACACAATTTTTCATAAATAAATTTCAGGGTTTTTTTTTTTTTTTTGAGTTGGAGTCTTATTCCATTGTCCATGCCAGAGTGCAGTGGCACTCTCATAGCCACCCCAGCATCGATCCGCTGGGCTCAGGCAATCCTTCTGCCTCAGCCTTCCAAGTAGCTGGAACTACAGGCATGTGCTACCACGCCTGGCTAATTTTTGATTTATTGTAGAGATGAGATCTCACCATTTCCCGGGCTGATCTCGAACCCACTCAGGCAATTCACTCGCCTTGGCCTTGCAAGTGCTGGGATGACAGACTGAGCCACCAAGCCTGACTGAGTGCACTATTTTTTATGAATAAATTCCAAGGCTTTTTTGGGGGGGGACTCAAAAAAAATAAAGGAGATTCTCCAAAATGAAATTTTTAAAAATTAAGAATGGAAACATTTCAAGTGAATTCTTTTTCACTGTTTTTAAAATCTGTATCCTTTTGGCCAAATATTACTGAGGTTGAGATCTGAATCTCTTGGTTTGTCTATTCTTTCTCAAAAGATTAACCTAGCTGGGCATGGTGGAGCACGCCTGTAATCCTAGCTAATCGAGAGGCCAAGGTGGAAGGATTACCTGAGCCCAGCAGATCGAGACTGTGGTGAGCCATGATCATGCCACTGCATTCCAGCCTTGGTGACAGAGGGAGACCCCAACTCAAAAAAAAAAAAAAGTTTTACCTTTTCAAAAGATGTAAATATGGCTGAGTTTTGAATTCAGCATGGACAATGTTGTCAGTTTCCTGCGTGGCTTTGATTTTGTAATCATAGAAGGTTTGAAGCATGCCAATGTTTTCATTTGATTTTCCTCTTTGCCTTTGTTTTTTTCCAGAACACCGAGAGATCAAAAGACTGGTACAAGACTATGTTTAAACAGATCCACAAACTGAACAGAGGTATTGATTTTCGTGCATAGAAGCTATGCTATGCTGTGCTGTGTTTTGTGCCAATATAGCTACTGTTGGGTGGGCCTGAATGCACTTGGCTTGGATGCCAGGAGGCTGGGGCCTGCGGGTGGACTTGGTGAGGTCCTGGTCTGCCTCTGTCCTGCCATGCACCTTCAGAGCATGGGTGGGAGATACTTGTGCACCTGCCTCAGCTTTGGAATTCGAGGCCTGCTTGCAAGGCCTTTCCCCAGATGTGGAATGCAGCAGGCCAGGCCTGGCACTGGGCCTGTGTCCCATCGTTTCTCTGCCTGAGATGTAACAGCTCTACTTCCCACCTGCTTCCGGCTTTAGGGACATCTCCCTGTGTCAGCCCATGACTGCCTCGTGGGCCGAGTGTGTTGGCTCAAGCCTGTAATCCCAGCACTTTGGGAGGCCGAGGTGAGAGGATTACCTGAGCCCAGGGTTCAAGACCAGCCTGGGCAACTTGGCAAGACCTCGTCTCTACAGTAAATCAAAAAATTAGTTGGGCGTGGCGACATGTGCCTGTAGTTCCAGCTACTTGGAAGGCTGAGGCGGAAGGGTCACCTGAGCCCGGCAGGTCGAGGCTGTAGTGGTCGTGAGCTTGCCACTGCACGCCAGCCTGGGTGACAGTGAGACTCGAAAAAAGAAAACTGTCCTCACCTGGGCTTAATCCCCTCTGAGTGCTCATGTGACCTGGGACCAGTCACACACCTCTCTGTGTGTTTTGCATCCCTTCCTCTGAGGGGCATCACAGAGTCTAAATGAGAACACACTTGGGAAGTAGATTGCAAGGTGTACCTCTAAGGATGTGTTTGTATGAAAAACGACCTTCTCCCGCCAGAAGGCGGCACTTGGCAGGTAGCCCCGAGAGCCAGTCAAGAGCTGACACACCAGAGCCCGCTCAGGCTGAAAGAGATTTGCTTCCAAATCAGAGGCCAGCGGGGCCGCCAGCAGGTGACCCAGCATGGGAGAACCCCAGGCCAGCGCTCGGGCAGGTCATGACCCCCCGGCTCCCTTTGCTGCCTGTGCCACCAGTCAGCTGACAGGCAGAAATATGGCTGCACCGTGAGAGGGGGCCCACGCCTCCTGCGGGCAGAGCATCCTGCCACTCCCTGTGCCCAAATCCAGTCTGGCCGCCTGTCGTGGACAACACATGAAGGCAAGGAAAAGCGATTTGATCAGTGTTCCCACCCAAGCCCAGTCTCTCTGATGGGCTGTGAGGCCGACTCACCTCAATGATAGCTAACTCCTGCTGGGTTCAAGATAAACCTGGGTGTACCCCTCCAACCGTTGCTGAATACTGAGGTGCTCAGGGTCTCGCATTTCCGAGTCAAGAGTAATGCTTTAGGCCAGACGCCGTGGCTCACGCCTGTAATCCCAGCACTTTGGGAGGCAGAGGTGAGAGGATTACCCGAGCCCTCAGGTTCAAGACTAGCCTGGGCAACTTGGTGAGACCTCATCTCTGCAATAAGTCAAAAAATTAGCCAGGCGTGGTGGCGCATGCCTGTAGTTCCAGCTACTTGGAAGGCTGAAGCAGAAGGATTGCCTGAACCCAGCAGGTCGAGGCTGCGGTGGCCGTGAGCGTGCCACTGCCCTCCAGCCTGGGCAATAGAGTGAGACTTAAACTCAAAAAAAAAAAAAAAAGAGTAATGCTTTGTGGTTAGGTGGATGCACTCAATCACATGGCCATGATGCCCAACTGTTGAAGATCTGTGATTGATGGGCTCAGCACCCTGGGTCACTTCTTAAAGCCACTATCCATTTCCCCTGTGGCCCTTTTGCCTCCAGCCCCAGTTTTGGAGGCCTAAATGCAGAAACACAGGTGCACGCACACGTGCCAAATACATGATTCTGCCCCACAGGCAGTTTTGGTCTTCTCATGTTATAATTATTAACTCAACCTAAATTACAGGTTCTGAACTGCCTGCCCCAGTGGTAGACAGGGGTATTTGAAAAATTAACAATCCACCTCTTTGCCTTGATTCTAATGTCCACAGCACAAGCTTTGGTTTTAAAAAATCATTTTAGGGCCGGGCGCGGTGGCTCACGTCTATAATCCCAGCACTTTGGGAGGCCGAGGTGAGAGGATTGCCTGAGCCCACGGGTTCAAGACCAACCTGGGCAACTTGGCGAGACCTCATCTCCACAATAAATCAAGAAAAATTAGCTGAGCGTGGTGGCGCGTGCCTATAGTTCTAGCTACTTGGAAGGCTGAGACAGAAGGATCGCCTGAGCCTGGCAGGTTGAGGCTGCAGTGGCCGTGAGCGTGCCACTGCCCTCCAGCCTGGGCGACAGAGTGAGACTCTGACTCAAAAATAAAAGGATTTTAGGATACTGTTTTTATGACATACTATTTATTATTATACTTCATATTTCTTACCTGTAAAACCATGAAAACTTGAAGCTTTGTGCTAAGCGTTTCTTGCCTATTGGAGTCTGTTTATGCATAATTCTTTGTCCAAAAAAGAGTAATGATATTGTCTCTTTGGATGTGTCTCGGTAATTCAGGCAAAAGGACTGGATTTTTAAAAGCAGTTTGAATTTCTTTCTGATCACCATTGAAGCTTAGTATATTCCAGAATTCAAGGAGCCTGATTGTATGTGGATTCCTACTGGTTTATTCTCTCCATTTGTGTCTTCCTCTATTGTCTCTCCCTCACCTGCTCCTCTGCCTAGACACTCCTGAAGAAAACCCTTATTTCCCTACGTACAAATTCCCTGAACTTCCTGAAATCCAGCAAACTTCTGAAGGTACCATCAACTTAGACAGCCTATCTGTTGTCCTCGCATTAAATTAACTTAATAGCGCCATCATAGGCCTAAGGTTTGGCTTGTAGATTTCGTTTTCTTAGTCGTTTTTGGCTGGTGAAAATTTTATTTCACTCATTTGCATGATGTGCTGTATTAAAATAACTAAGTCCTCCCTAATTCATTAATGTGTTTTTAAGTGTGATGCCGTGTGCTTTAATAACACTAAGATAGGTAATCTGTCATTTGAAAGAGTCCACTGGGGACTTGTCAGTTCCTTCACTCTGTGGTGGATCGTTTCAAAATCCACTGCTTTTCTCTGCTACAGAGGACAATCCTTACACTCCTACCTACCAGTTTCCTGCGTCCACTCCCAGCCCTAGATCGGAAGGTAATTGAAGGAAAATCGTGTGCCTCTCTCTGTCCTGGTGCTGTTACTTTCTTTTTCACCTTGGGATTTTTCCCAGTGGCTGAGGGCTGTCTCCCAATCATTTGCTTCCCTCTAACCTTGTGTTTTGTGGTGGTGTCTCGCTCCTCGCTGACTGTATAACTGGAGTCTGTCCAGATGGTATTTTAATCCTGTTCCCCTAGGGTTTACATAATTAATGGGGTAGCTAGCATAGCTTAGTTGTAATGCTGTGAACACGTGGGGCTCTGGGAAAAGCTGGCTGTACCCAACTACCCAGGGCTTTGTATCTGGGGGTGGAGGGGTCATCTGATGCTGGTGGTTGGGCAGTGACTCAGGGAAGCTGAGTCATAATGGTGGACAAGCAGGAGATGGGCCTGCCAGCTGTCAACAACAGAAAATTGCCAGGTTCCTATTTCTGCAACTAACTTGTCATTGGGCCCTGCTTGTCATAGGTCCTCAGGTTGTCTTGATTTGGTAGGGAATTCCTGAAGATGTATCCAGGTATAAGAGTCAGTTATGGTGGGAGGTGGCTTCTCTAGAATATAAGGGTTTTGGCCAAACTGGAAAACATTTCAGGAAAGAGCTGGATAAGAATTTGCATCTGCTGGGAAGTATCTAAGAGATACTGGTTTCTGGGGCAAAAAGTCTAGGTGCCAGAGAAGCTTCTAAAAGGTTAGTGAAACCAAACACAGTGGCATAAACCTATAATTCCAGCTACTCAGATGGCTGAGGCCAAAGGATCACTTGAGCCCAAGAGTTCTGGGCTGCAGTGTCCTATGCTGATCAGATGTTCACATTTAATTAACATCAATACAGTGACCTCCTGGAAGCAGGCAACCACCAGGTTACCTCTAAGGAGGGGTGAACCAACTCAGAAACAGAGCAGGTTAAAACTCCCATGCTGATCAGTAATGGGGTTATACCTGTGAATAGACACTGCACTCCAGCCTGGGCAACATAGCAAGACCCCCATCTCTTTAAAAATAAATCAATAATAAAAATAAAAGGTGAATCAAAGACAACATCTTGAGGATTGTCCTAATAGCAGGAATTGTCGGATCTTTGGCTGAGTGAACCAGAATTGTCTGATCTTTGGATGAATGACCCAAATAGGATATAGAGGGAGGAAATTTGTTAAATAGCCTCCCAGGCAGAGATGCTGAGTGCTCTGAATGTCATTCATTTCAGTAGTGTTGAACACCCTACAGTGTGCCACACACTGTCCTTGGCACTGCAGGCAATGCCAGGAGTAAAACACGTAACCCGTCCTCAGACGTTCCCATCGGGCATGGAGTTGAAAAGGCTGCTGTGGTATACTGTGTCCAGTATGGGTCAGTCGCGAGAGCCCATGTCCAGGAGGCCACAGGAAACCTTGCTGGGACATCACAGGTCCTCAGTAACACCTGGAGAATGTTGACAAGTTTGAAAGCTTTGAATCACGGAGCCAGAGTTCTCTCCATGTGTTTCTGTCAGCCCAGCAAACCATCCCTCCCAGACCTTCTCTTCACTGGTAAAGTCATTCATTCAATCACCAAACTGTCGCTGATCACTTAGTATATATGAGATGACATCCTGGGGTGTGTTAGATTTGAATTAGTTTGTATTAGTTAAAATACTACAGTCTATACACCCTAGTCAGTGGTTTGCCAACACTTCATGCTTGGGGCCTATCATGAATGAAAAATCTCCCAAACAGACCCAGATTTACAGAACAAAAAGCAGACAATTAAATTCTGATCAGTGACCTCCTCGCTGCCAACCAGAGTCTGTTTGGTGTAGGTAGACTAGCCTCTCTGTCTTAGGGTGCTGATTTCTGCCCACAAGCACTGCTGAAGAAACAACTGACTGAATTGGGTACGTGAGATGTTTTCGGGGGGTGATTTTGGTTAATTACAATTTTCGATTTGTGTTTTATTTGGACTTGCAAATCCCAATAGAACCTACTCAGGAGATAGAGTTCCTTCACGAGGTGACAGACACAGAGCATGCTGAAGGCACAGTGTCCCATGGCCATGGGCAGAGGAAGGCCCGTGGGAAGCAGGCCTGTGTAGGGGAGTGAGACTCCCATTGGACTGGAAGATTACGTTAGCCCTCCTGCAGACACTACACGCTGCATCCATGGTCCGCTTTGCGGCTGGTCTGAAGATAGGTTTCATGACCTCACGCCCACAGCCCTGTGTCATCAGCCACCACGCCTAACAACCCGGCTGACAATAGCGTCTGCTGTTTGGTACACATCAAGTCCAGCACAGAAGAGAAAGCGGGTTTATTTTGCCTAGAGGCATAAACAGTAAGGGATGACATGACAACTTGGCATGTACAATTTAGAAGTGGACCTAACTGTTTTTTCTTTTCTTTTTCTTTCTTTCTTTTTTTTTTTTTTTTTTTTGAGTTGGAGTTTCGCTCTGTTGCCCAGGCTGGAGTGCAGTGGCCCACCCATGGCCACCCCAGCGTCAATTTGCTGGGCTCTGGTGATCCTTCTGCCTCAGCCTTCCAAGTAACCAGAACTACAAGTGTGTGCTACCACACCCGGCTAATTTTTTTTTTTTAAATTTATTGTAGAGACGAGTTCTCACCAAGTTGCCCAGGCTGGTCTCGAACCCACAGACTCGGGCAATCCACTCACCTCGGCCTTCCAAAGTGCTGGGATGACAAGTTGAGCCACCAGGCCTGGCCCCCTGTTTTTTATTTTCAAAGACCAAAAATAAGGAAACAGTCTTAAAGAATAAAAAGGAGAGCCAGGTACGGTGGCTTACATCTGTAATCCCAGGGCATTGGGAGACCAAGGTGGAAGGTTACTTGAGGCCAGGAGTTGGAGACCAGCCTGGGCAATATAGCGAGACCCCCATCTCCACAAAAATAATTTAAAAATTACTGGGTGTGGTGACTCACATCTGTAGTCCCAGCTACTTGGGAGGCTGAGGCAGGAGGATTGCTTGAGCCCAGGAGTTTGAGGCTATAGTGAGCTATGATCACACCATTGTACTCCAGCTGGGCGACAGAACCAGACCCTGTCTCAAAAAAAAAAAAAAAAAAGAAAGAAAGAAAGAAAAAATAAAAAGGAAAAAATTAAGTTGGTGTAGAAAACTCACAGCAACAAAAATGATTAGATAATTAGGCTTTACCTCGAACTTGTAAGAGGCCTTTTTCCCTGGAAATATTTAAAAATAGAGTAGGTTCCATTTCATGCCCCCCCACTTCTGCCTAGCATGCCCCCCCCCACTTCTGCCTAGATGACATATCCAAGCATGAATCCCTGATGTGTTCAGTTAGATCAAAGCTTTTTACAAATGCGGTAATCATTTGAGCAAGATCATGTTAAAGAATTTTTTAAGTTTCAAGAGATTCTCTGGATTTCTGGGCCCAAGATATGTGGTTTTGAAGTTGTCTGTGCCGCCAGCCGGGCCTTACCAACCCTGTCCATGGTGCTAACTCCAGCCCCATGCTCCCCACAGGTGGCCCTGGGCTCCGGGCACACCTTTCTTAACCCAGGAAAGACTCGTGCCTTGCAAAGAAGGGAGCGTGAGACAGATCAGCCCTGAGTAGAGAGGCTCTACCCAGAGATGTTGATGTGCATTGAGAAATAGAAAGTGTTCCTGAGACACGAGCCGTCATTCCAGAACCTGTCTCCTGGGGAGAAGGTTGTTATTGGCTGCTGTGTTCCGTTTTGTTTTGTTTTAATTCAGAATTTGGAGCTAGAATTATGTGTAAGGAACCTATCAAAGCCTAGCCTAGGGGCTGTGGCCTGTGTCTACATTCTGTTTTTTTTCTACAGTATAACAAGGACATTTCTAAATATCTCAAAGCTGATTCTCCTAAATAGTAAGAGACTTTGTGAAAGCTTGTTTACGGTGGCCTAGCGAGCTTCTTTTTTCCCCAGCAACAGTGAAACAGTAAACTTCTGGCCAGACTTTGAGAACATAAATAGAATGTTTTAGTCAATGAGGTCTAAAATCGACTTAAACACATACACACTTTTGTAAATTCCAACAAGGAGCAGCCCCTTTTAATCACTTTCTAGTCTTGGAGACTGCTCTGTGAGGGGCAGAAGAGAGGCCACAGACAGTGGCACTTGGCTTCATGATGTGGGAGAAAGAGGAACAGCCATGTAGAAACAGCTTCTGACATGCAGCCCCTTCCATCCTTCCACTTTAGGGACAGCAGTGTGGTGGCTGGCATTTCAGCAGCTCACCCCCATATTATTATTATTAGCAAGTATCATCATCATCATCATTAATAATAATTGCATAACCACCACTGCGATGACTATACTGCCCTTTATTGAGCCCTTACTGTATTCAAGGCTCTGTGCTGAGTGCATCACTACCGTGATTTCATTTTCTTCTTCCCAACAAGACCATGAGGCCCATCTTTTATCAGTGAAGAGTGTGCGGCTCAGAGAGGTTAAGTAATTTGTGTAAGATCACACAGTAGGTGGCAGAGTGAGGACTCACACCCAGGTCTCCAGGACCCCTAAACGCAGGCTTTTATTTACGTTTCTGTACTGCTCTGCTGACTTCTTTCCCTCTCCTGACTTTGTTCGTGGTGTTCTTGGTTGTCCCCTCCCTGCTGAGGGGCTCTTGGATGCCTCCCT